GGTGCCAACTTGGGCCAGTGAAGCAACGTCCTCCACAACCAGACTGAAGAACAAAACAACAGCAACTTGTCTGTTCCCCTTCCCCCAGTTCCCCAGCACTGTTCCCATCCCCCCAATTCCCCAATAAAAATCTTTAAAAAAAAAAAATGGCAGAGGACCTGAATAGATACTTTTCCAAGAAAGACATACAGATGGCCAACAGACATATGCAAAGATGTTCAATATTTCTAATTGTAAGGGAAATGCAAATCAAAACCACAATGAATATCACACCACACATGTTTTAATGACTATTATAAAAAAGACAAGAAATAACAAGTGTTGAATAGCATGTGAAGAAAAGAGAACCCTCCTACACTGTTGGTGAATATAAATTGATGCAGCCACTATGGAAAAACAGTATGGAGGTTCCTTTAAAAATTAAGAGTGGAACTACCTTCTGATCCAGTAATTCCTCTTCTGGGTAATTATCCCCAAAATATGAAAACACTAATTTGTAAAGATATGTACCCTTATGTTCATTGCAGCATTATTTCTAATAGCCAAACATGGAAACAACCTAAGTGTCCATTGACAGAGATTGAATAAAGACAATGTGGTATATATACATATACAGTGGAATACTCAGCCATAAAAAAGATGAGACATTGCCATTTGAGACAACAGGGATGCATCTTAGTGGTATTATGCTAACTGAAATAAGAAAGATGCAAAAGGACAGAATTGCATGATTTCATGCATATTGATTTGCATGGAATTCCATAGAAAAGGTACCACCTTTTCCTTTTTTCATTAATGAAAAAAGGATTGGAAAGTTATCTTTGATCTCCCATAATCTAGACATTTGTATGCATTTCATAGTGTGCTTGTCCTCTGTCCTCCCAAAGCCAGCCATTTCAGCAGTGAAGTTCTGTTGGTAGCAGTTTATAGCCACTTATATGTAATAATAAATGAAGTTGTTGCATTTATGTGTGTGTGTTTTTACACACATCTCTTTTTCTTTATCTCTGCTATTTACCCAGACAGGTATGGTGCACTGTGACACAGCAGTTGGAACGCCTGATTATATATCACCTGAGGTTCTGAAATCACAAGGGGGTGATGGTTACTATGGGCGAGAATGTGATTGGTGGTCTGTGGGTGTTTTCCTTTTTGAGATGCTGGTGGGTAAGTAAATACTTTAACTTGTTTTTTTTCAAAACCCATTTCATAACATTAGTTCTAAGTTAGGAATTTGAGAATATAAGGAAATTAATTTTATGTGTCCTAGGGGAAAAAATGGAATTTCTGAAAACTTTGAATTAGTAGAGTCTGATATGACAGATTGTTAATTGCAAAATTAAAACCAAGCCTCACAGTGGCAAATTGATTTAGTAGAATATGAAAGGAATTGAAAGTATACTGGTAGGAAGTATTCCTCCAGTAGACCTTTTTGTATTAGGAACATACTAAAACAAGAAGCAAGTTTACAAGTACAATGGGTTTCCGTTCTAAGATTTTTTTGATTTTTTTTTCAAATAGTATTTGTTGTGAATATTTTAAATATAAGGCTGTTAATACTTGTTATAATAACAATAGAGAACAAAGTATATTTTAGTTTGCTTATGTAGTTATGTAATTGATGTTTGTTAACTGTATTTCTTGTATGTATTACTTGTATATATTTGTATATGTATATATTTGGTTTGTAATTCCAGTAAAATAAATCATAAATATAGTTATTGATGATTTAGTTAATAATAAATTTAGTTAAATTTAGTTAAAAATAAATTTAGTTAAAGTTAAATTTAGTTTAAAATAAATTTAGTTAATAATGATATTTAGTTATAAATATCATAAAATAAATATATTTTATAATATTTCAGTCTCAGAAAATGCAGAGTCAAATTTAATAATTTCTTTTACTTTGACCAAGTTAAATTTTAAAGGCTTAAGGGTTTCAAAACTTTTCTTTACATCATAGATGTCATTCTTAAGATTTCCCATTAGTGAGTACTAGGGACAAAAATATTTTCTGGCTAAGAAAGCCAATGACTGAATCGCCTGGCTTGGGGAACAGGGCAGATATAGCCAAATCTACTTTCTGAGGCAAGTGTGGTAAGGCTAATAACATTATTATATAAAGTGACTTTAGAGTTGGAAATATATTTTTAGAAATTGGAGAATTTATTTTCTAGAAGATGACCCTAAAAGGAATTGGTAATAGAAAATCTGTATGATAATTGATTATGGTTATTGCTAAAAAAAAAAAAAAAATCAGAACATTTTGGTAATTTCCAAGTTTAAGGAATAATTAAGTTTGGGACTTTTTTGTGGCATAAATTGCCTTCTCTTGACCATCTTGTGTACATAGCATTGATCTTGCTGTGCTTAGTCTCATATCATAGTATGACCTACTTTGTTTTGGACCTTTGTCTTTGTAGTGGGTCTCTTTGTATTCACATATGTCCCCAGGTAGCTGTCCATTCTCCCCACCTCTGGCCTGATCTGATGATGCATTCGGTGTGTTTTATAATCTTTTGGAAGTAGAATATATTCTATCATTTGCCTTGACTCTCCTAGGGATTTAGAAAATATACTTAGCAGGAAGTCACATGGCTTATTTGAATAGACCATTTAAATTTCTGCTACTGTTCTCAACTTTGGGAGCTGAATTTTATGAGTTTGAATGGCACTGATTTGCAGTATTCTGAGCCTACTCTGGTGCTTGCTCAGGTTGGTTGGCATGGACTCCGCTGCAGTTAAAAGGACTCCGCTGCAGTTAAAAATGGCACTAGAAAAATCTTGAATTCAAAGCTTCTCCCTGTCCCCCACTTTGAAAACAAAATTACCTACCTGATTATCCCTTTTGAAGCTTTGGATTGGCTGGTTTGGGAGAGTCTTTTTGTACTAAGATGACTTGTGTTGGGTATACCATCAGGGCCTTTAACCTCATCTGTGACTTTAGATGAGTACTGGCCAAAATGATGTCTCAACTTTTTCTGTCTGTACACTTGTTTCAGTGCCTCATTATCACAGTCATTAGTCAGCAGGAACACTCCATTTCTGCCATGTTCAACTCCAACTGTGTGTCACTTTAGACAAACCATGTGTCATCTAGCTGGGCCTGGCTTCCTCATATGTTAAATAATAGGATGGGTCTAACTCTTAGAGCTGTTCAGTCCAGTCTGTCATGATGAAATTGTTATATCTGTGCTGTCCAGTATGTTGGGCACTGGCTACATTGAGCCCTTTAAGGAACAGCTATTTTCATTTTGTTTAATTGTAATTAATTTAACTTAAAATTTCCACATGTGGCTAGTGGCTACTGTATTGTATAACACAGCTCTAGAGAAGAACCTCAAAAGGCTAATCCATGACCTTGCTCAAGCTTTAGAGGACCATGACTGATCTGACCTCACTTAGTAATCTTTTTCTTTAATTATTCTGTAAATATTTTCCTGTCCCATTGTAAAAACAACAACAACAACGAAAGTCTAGAGTTAGCACTGATTTTATTTTGCTCTTAAAGGTTGATGGTTCATTGGTATGGTTAAAATTTAAATATTTTCGTGGTGTGTGGCTGCTTGTTTTGACTGAGACTTCTGGCCCATAACCTTCCATTCTCCCGTGCATGTGACAAATTTTAGACTTAACATATTAAAATGTTAGATGAAAGGTGTTTATTTAATTTGCACTCTCTATTACATTCAGTGTCTTCTTTCTTGGAATTTTAGGGGATACTCCATTTTATGCAGATTCACTTGTAGGAACATACAGCAAAATTATGGATCATAAAAATTCACTGTGTTTCCCTGAAGATGCAGAAATTTCTAAACACGCGAAGAATCTCATCTGTGCCTTCCTAACAGATAGGTAATGGACATTGAATTTCTTTGTAGAGATGATACCTTTAACTTTTACATTTGTAGCAAAGAAAGCGTACCTAACTCCTATTTACATATGAAATCAATCTCTCGCTTTATCCAAATTGCATTTAATTCTGGGTGAGCCTTTTTTTACTGCTAAGCCTGGGATTGGGTTACCCTTGTCATTTTGTGTGTGCAGCCCAGTTGTAATCTAAATCTAACCTTAACCCTCAGGTGTAAAAAAGAAAAAACAGAACTTGGTAAAATAACACAATAGAGAGAAATAAAACTTGTATTATTCATATTTTCTTTAAGGTGACTAAGTAACATTACTCTTGATTATACAACTTTTGAGAGGAGAGCATTTTGTGCATATAGATCCTCAACTGGTTATAATCTTAAAAAGCTATATTTGTGTTTGACTTCGGAGTGCCTCCTTTCCAACCCGTTTTTATTTGCATTTGAATATGAGCAAGTCTGTCCTGGAAATTCTATATTTCTTAAAACAAAATAGATGAACAACATTGTGAAAACCTGCCTCAAAAAAGAGAAGCTAAGCTTGGAAGCTCATCAGAGTTTCTTCCTTGGCTTTCTATTGAGTTCTTTTCTGTTTTCCCATTTTATGTTTGTGACAGGAGTCGTCCTTTCGAAGGACTAACACATGTAAGAGGTTGCTTGCCCCCAAGTCCAAACTTTGCTCATTAGCTTTATGATCTTAGGGAAATTATTTTACATTTTTGGGAAATAATTTTATTCATCCATAAAATGATAGGATCCAATTAGATGATGACTAAGGGCATTTGTAACTCTAAAATGCTGTGATTCCTTAGCACACCTTGGTGTTTGTTAGCTGGTTGCTGTTACAAGCAATACTGTAGTGACTATCCTCATACAATCATCTTTGCAGACTTTATGTACGATAAAATCTTAAAGGTAGAATTCTAGGATACACATTTTAAAATTAGGTGGTGTTGCAAAATTCACCCACAGAGAAGTCACCTCAGGGACTATTTTCATTAACAATAACTGTTTACCTTATTCTCATCAAACGAAATATTACGAATTTTTACTTTTCCTATCTGAAAAAAGATAAATTATTTTTATCTTTCCTCATTAGAGAGGTTAATCATTTTCATATGTTTATCAATTATTTGTAGAGTAAACCTGTAAGATTTTTAAATTATATTATTAACGCACAATCCATACTAATAAACTCAAAGCAAATCCTGTATAATGTTTTGATTTTGGGGGGATGATCATAATATATGCTGAAAGGTAAAATAAAATAGGATATGTTAATGAAAAGAGTAAAGAATGATTGGAGGTGGAGAAGATATTTTGAAAAGAACTTCATGCTATCAGTGTGGCTAGGAGTATTTCCCTCTAAAGTTTACAGGTTTTCCTGTTTATATTAAACATAGCTCCAGGCATATAAAAAGAACAAATTCTTTTCATTTCTGTACAACCTTCAATGAAGACATAAAGGGGCAAAGATTGAAATTATTAGTCAACATTTTTCTTGTATTCAGAATGATAATTTTAATATATAAATGTAGAGATATAATTTATCAGGGTAAATATGGATAGCTTTAAACACATTATGTGATTTTTTTTTAAGGGGATTTTTAAAAAAACATTTTTATTAGAGAGGTTTTGATAACTTTTCTGGGCCCAAAGTTAGATCTTTGTCCATTTTACGTCCTGAAGTTGGTTATTTAGTTTTGGCACACACAGGTACATTTTTTTATTTGAAAGTCTCATATGTACATTTGTTTCACACAAACTACAGATGGAAATATATTTTACTTTCCGTTGTGTTTACTATACATTGCAGTCTTTTTAATCTATCTAGAGAGATTATATACTATACTATACAATTGAAGTTGCTTATTTTTGAGGAACATTTACGCTAAAGCTTTTAAAAGAGATATCTCTAACTCATTTGTGATCCTTATGTTGAACCTTGTTGAGATCAGACTTCTTAATTTTGTCTTTTCATGACCTTACTTTTTATGTAATCTGCATTGTTTAGGGAGGTACGACTTGGGAGAAATGGAGTAGAAGAAATCAAACAACATCCTTTCTTTAAGAATGATCAATGGAATTGGGATAACATAAGAGAGAGTAAGTCAATACATTTAAATATTTCCATTCCACCACATTTTAAATCTCATAAATTGATTTCTCTTTTGAATTAATAAGCATGTTTGATATACTTAATGCTGATTTTTAAATTGAGAGATTTCATTTCAGATTTGTTCAGTGGCAATATTTATAACTCAATACTATCTTAATATCTTAGCACACTAAGCATACAATAAGTATGTATTTATTGGCAATATTTCACAATACTTTTATAATTAACATTATTGATTTCTTAATTTGTCAAGTTAGGTTTTATGGATCTCAATAATTTGTAGAATGAGGGAAATATAATCCTGTCATTCAAATATATTTGAATTAATAAACAAACCAGTAATTATTTATGGAGACCACACTCTGGTAAATACTAGGGTAAGCATAGTAATTCATTTTAATTTTATATTTGACATTAATTTATTTTAAGAGTAAGAAATACTTCTACTGAAAAATGTAGAAAACTGAAGACTAAAGAATATATGTGCAAGTTATTGCTGCTTATAATTTTAAAGTTAGAGTAATAGCATGTTGCTTTCCTTTTTTAATTGAATATCAATATTTAAAACCAATCTAGTATAGTAATAAAGTACTTAACAAAGTTTTAATTCTTTGAAATGATAAAATGGAAAATATGTTGCTAGAATTTTCTATAGTAAATCTTGTCATTAATGTTTTATATATTACTAATGTACAATGTGTTAATATTAATATAAAATATTGTTAATAATATAAAACAAAATGGGGTGGTTCCTATATATTTTTTTTTATTCTGAATGAAATAATTTCTTTTAATAGCGGCAGCTCCGGTAGTACCTGAACTCAGCAGTGACATAGACAGCAGCAATTTTGATGACATTGAAGATGATAAAGGAGATGTAGAAACCTTCCCAATTCCTAAAGCTTTTGTGGGAAATCAGCTGCCCTTTATAGGATTTACCTACTACAGAGAAAATTTGTATGTCATTTGTTTGTTACATTTTTATTGTTTTCAAAGTCTAGCTATAAAGAGTTGTCTTAGTTTGAGACTCTGGATTGTAAAAGATAAAGTGTTAAATTGTTTTAAACTTTGAGTTTTTTCAAAAGGACTATCAAAGGAGTTATTTTTCATTTAATTTCATGATTTTATTTCTGAATGTTATATGATATTCCTTTACAAATCAATGCAAGGCAATGCTTTATATTCTTTTGGGCTATAGCATAAGACCAAATACCTGCTTTTGAAGGAGCTTGTCAACTAATGAGGAATATGAGAAAACTGCACAGTCATAACAAAGGTTAGAATGTGATATTTTCCTTAAGAAAGGTACCAAAAGAATCTGAGATGGTTTGGAAAAAAAAGAGTTGTGTCTCTTTGAGGAGAAGTTAGGGAGAATTCAGGCAAGACCTCAGGGAAGAGTTGGCATTATAGCCAAATTTAGAGATAAGGAAGTGTTTTTAGTGGCTGAGATGTGGGGAGTTTAGGTGAGAGTTGTAGGGAGGTAAATAGTGGAAGCAAAAGTTTGGAATGTAAGCATATGCTGAGAACAGTGTAATCCATTGGGGTTCAATCATAGGGTATATTACTGGATTATGACCATTTGGAGGACTTCATAAGACTCTGGTTTTCTTGCCTGAATCCTTCCATCCAGCACAGAGCCGGACACAAGGTCATTCAATAAATACTGGCCGAGTGTTAGGGGGTAACATTAGAAAATAGATTGAAGTTGGAATTTAGGGGAAGAATAATGCAACAGATGATTGTTGAGTGCTGTGCTAAGGGACTTTTGACTTAAGCAGTAAGGAGGCACTGAAAAATGGTTGAGTGAAGCATTAAAAACATTTTAGAAACTTTTTGGTTCTTCCATGTGTGTAATGACCCAGGTGACCAATCATTATGGTTTGCCCAGGAGTGAGGAGTTTCTTAGGATGTGGTGTGGGACTTTCATGCTAAAACTGGGAAAAACCTCAGGCAAATCGGGGAGTTGGTCACCCTCCTACCAATGCTGTTCTAAAAACTATTATAATGCAGACAAAAATGAGGATATCAGTGCAAGGAGAAACTCAAGAATATTTGTAGGCATTGAGGAAGGACCCAATTAAAAGAGAAATTGACAGTTAAATAGACGTGATCACTTATGCATTAAGACCTGGAGATCAAGAGATGTTATTGAAAAGGAGGAGAGATGTCTCTTTCTAGAAAATGTCTAGAAGAATAAAATAGTTACAGCAACTCAAAATGAGATAAAGCGGGGGAAAGTGTAGTTCCGTTTGGTGACTCTAGTCTCAATGATATTAAATAATAGAGCGTCTGATAAAAGTGAGAGGCAAGTAAAGTTTAGCATTTTAGATTATTGAAAATTGTATGAATGTCTAGATTAGAAAATATTGCTTCATTTAAAATATGTTGGACAGGATAAAAAGAAAAATCTTTGGTTCGAATTTAGTTATGAGAATAACTTGCTGTTATAAAATGGATTAAAATGACATACAAAAAAGAATGTATTTCTGGCCTTTCCTTCTAGGTTACTAAGTGACTTTCCATCTTGTAGAGAAAATGATTCAGTACAATCAAGGAAAAATGAAGTATGTATTAATTTTTACTACTGTGTTTTAGTCACATGTTCAAATAGTAATGTTCTTGTAGTTTTAAAAGTTTATTTGATGCTGCTTTTTGAATCATTAAATGGCATTCCTTGTTGAAATGCAGTTCAGCATAACATTGAAATGATTCATTTTTTTTACAAGTATCATTGCGTAAGATACAATGGTAGTAAAAGTGAATTATACATGGCTTTAGGATTAGTTTTATAGCAAAAGTGATAGAATAGGTTTATAAGCAGGTATAATATCAGTTAGAAATTTTTGTAATCTTAGTGCTATAAAAGTATATAGCTAATAAGCTATAAGAGTACAGAAATGGTGGAGGGATTCAAATTTTGAGTATTTAGCAATGAATTCATATAAAAGATAATTTTGTCATGCTGTTACAGTATTTTGTGACCTCTGTAATTTGTAACTGCATACAAAGTAAATCACATGCACACATATGCGTACACATAAGTGAGGATGCTAAACATTTTTCTCTTTAAAACTTAGAAAAACTGAAAATTTGGTTGGGTAATTTTGGTATGATTTGTGTTTTAAAAATTTTACAAAGCAAAACAAACATTTTAATATTTTCCATGTTTTTTGTTTGTTTTTTTTAAATAGGAAAGTCAAGAGGTATGTTGATGTCAAGTGTCTTGAAAAACAGAGAAAAACTCATCACTCTAGCAATGTTTTGATATAGCCATATTCCACTTAGCATTTGGAGTACTGCATCTACCCAAGAAAAGAAGTTCCCATCCTTTTTTGTACCAAGTATCCCTTTTATTATTGCTCCTATGTATCTGTTATTTAAAATACCGTATTTGCCGGCGTATAAGACGACTGGGCGTATAAGACGACCCCCTAACATTTCCACTCAAAATACAGAGTTTGTTATATACTC